GAGAGAGAGAGAGAGAGAGAGAGAGAGAGAGAGAGAGAGAGAGAGAGCGCATTGTGGGCTAGACTCAGGAAGCTGGAGTCCAGCCCCAGCTCCCCGCTGGTTACCTGATACCCCTGCACCTCAGTTTTCTAATCCAAAGATCAGACATGACAGTGCCTTTCTTGAAAAGAGTTGGCAAAGTACTTAGAGTGGAATCAGAGGCATAGTGAGCAGTCAGTAAACAGTTTCCTAGATTAAAGGATCGCATGGAGTAGAGCCGAGCTGGGGCCCTCACCCAGGCTTCAGTTCAGCGGTGTACAGGACAGAAGGGTACGGGTGGGTGAGGGAGGGGGCACACTTCTCCAGCATCGTTAATGGGTAGCTAAATGCCATCCCCATTACAGAGAGACATTTCGATGGAGGGAGGGGGAGAGAGAGATATGAGATCACCTGCCAACATCTTTATGTGCCCGAGCCAGGATTCAAACTGCAGGCATCAAACACCAGAGTCGTGGTCCCAAGCCCTTCTAAAAAGTCCCCAACAAGTACTTTACAGCTCCCAGAAGCAAGATCTGTCCCAGCTGCTCATCCCTGCAGGAGAGATCCTAACTTTGGCAGCAAGGCTGCCTTCAAGCTGAGGACAGCTGAGAGTAAAGGGCCAGGGCAGGCTATACTTGACCCCGGGAGTCCTGAAGGCTGTGTTCTGGGAGGGGAGGACTGTTCTCGAGTGTTGGGAAGTGGTGGGGACGCGCTGTTGATGCCCACAGACCCCACTGGGCCCCATCGGGATTTGGCTATTCTAGCCAGCAAGAATCTATCCCTTCTGCAACGGATTCCAAGCATCTCCAACATTTCCAAGATGCTTCCCACCTCCCTATCAGGGACCCCACAACTCGCCCTCCCCAAGGCAGGGCACAAAGTAGGTGAGACAATCTAGAGACCCTCCCAGGCCTTGAAGCCTCCTCCCTCTGCAGGGTCTGCGGGCAGGGCCAGCTCTTGACGTCACGACCCAGGGCCAATGAGGCCGCGCAGCCCCAGGGCTGGATTGCGCAACAAAGAGAACCCAGAACTTGAAAGGATTCCCCGGGTTCGGGCTGCGCCCACCCATCTCTGAGAAGCCTACGCTTCGTGATTTCGCCTCCTAGCTGGTCTCTGGTCTGCCAAAAGGTCTCCAAAGGCCCAGCTGGACGGCGGCTCAGAGCACAGAGCGCAGTGCACGCCCCTTGACACCCCACTTATAGGTCTCGGTCTCCCGGGGCTCAGTTGGTTTCTCTGCCCGCCCCTAAAAGGCGCAGCCCTGCCGGTCTGGCCCTTGTAGGTCTTCCACTTTCCAATCCCGAGGGCGCGTCCAAGCGACGGCCTGGGGAGACAGATTAGGGGTGGGACTGTGCCTCAACCCGCACCTCAGTTTGCGCTTGGCATGGGGGCCTGGGACCCACAAAGTAGCCACGCCTGCCCGCTGCCAGCCGCCAAGGACTGCGCTGCCAGCCCTGGAGGCGGGGAGCCGAGGAAGAGGCTGGCTCGGAGAAGTTACCCTGAAGGTCCCCAAGTTGATGGTGGTGGGGCGTTCCATCCCCAAAGGCTACCCACGGCCACTCCGACGGACCCCGCGTCCCACCAGGTGTCACAGCGCCTCCTGGTCCAATCCTCCCGCCCGGATTTCCCCTTCGGTGTCCCTGGGCCGGGGCGGCGTCGCTCACCCAGCATTCGGGCGCCCAAGGCTCCAGCTCGCTGCTCCCGCCTCCGGCTGCGGTTCCCACGCCCCGGCACTGAGCGCCCGCCGCCAGGGGCCGCGGGGGTGGCTGGCGGCGGAGCAGCCCGCGGGCCGGGGCATCCTGGCGGCGGCTGCCGATAGCCAAAGCACTGCGCTGCGCTCGGCCCCGCCGCCCTCCCTCCCTGGGCACCGCCTCCGCCACGGCCGCGGTCGGCTCTCGCCGTTCGGCTGGCTGCGCTCAGGCGGCCGGGGGCGGGGGGCGGTCCAGGGCGCATGCCTCTGCCGGGGCCTCCGCGCCGCCCCCTGGCCGCGCCCCGCCTTCCCGGGCGCGTCGCGCTGGCCCCCCACTCCGGGCAGCCACGTAGCCCCAGCAGCCGCAGTGAAGCCCCTTGGAGCGCGCGACAGGACCCGCCCATGCTGGGGCCTCTTGGGTCTGGGTCACTCGCGCAGCCTCCTCTTGGCCGCCCGGAGTTGAGGGGCGGGGCTCGCAGGCCAGAGAAAGGGGAGCTTGGTCACAGAGAGGACACAGGACAGGGGATGTGGGGAGTCAGGGAGGAAGCCACGTCAGATGTTAGCATCCTTGACAAGAGGGACGGGATTCATGCGCCTGAGGATTACTGGCTTCTAGGAATCACAGTAGCAGGAGGCAAGGTTCCAACTTATTACCTGTGCAGCAGAGACCTCAGGAGTGCAGAGAGGACAACATGGACTCAGCCCTGTCCCCTCTGAGACTCTGACCAACCAAGCTGATGGGTAAGAGCCAGGATTTGAAGCATGGCTCCTGACTCCTCCTCCCCTCCTGGAACCCACCTCCTGTCAACATCTGTGGTGGGGCACAGGCTTGTCACCCTACAGTCCCCTGCTCCCACGCAGAGGGAAATGTCCTGTTCTCCATTCGAGCTCATAAAACCTCTCCAGCCAGAATGCAGCTGACATCCTGCCCCCCCCTCCAGGTGACACGATGGCACAGTCTTCTGGGCCACTCAGGGCTATGTGGGACAGGGACCATCCTTTAGCCAGAGCTGTGTGCTCAGGAAGATGGATACCTGGGACCGTCATCAGCTGCAATCTAGTGGCTGTGCTGCAATCCACCTCACTCTGTAGCTTACCTTCTGTACCCTGGGGAGTCAGGTGGGCCTTAGGGTCAGTCCTCTGAGACAGAAGTCTTGGTTTTGTAATAGAGGAACAGTTCATATTAATATGCAGGGCCTGGGATGGCTCCACGTGTGCCCTCTGACACTCCTCGGGGTTTCTGGGAGTGGTCAGGGCTCCCATGCAGACAACCCTGGTTATAAATAGATTGCCAGCAGAGGGCAGTTGCAATCAAGTGTGGCATTTTTAATGCTGTGTCTACGAAGGACATGCCCCAGGGAGCCCATGGTCTGGGTCCTGCTAAGGATGGTGTGGCTGGGTCTGGGTTCACAGATCTTGGTAGTATCCTTTCTGCTGGCCACACCCTGAGAGTGGCCTCACCACCACATCAAGGGTATCCTTGTGGCATAGGCTGGAGACCTCGAAGTTGTCTAGGGACCTGAGGGACAGGCAGTTGACATGGCTGTATGTGGGAGAGCTGGTCCCCTCCCCTACTTCCAGGCAGGAAGTAGCCCCGTCGTCTGGGACCCAGGCCGAGACAGATTCCGAAGCTGGAGCTCTTGGCGGGTGTTTCTGCACATCTGGAGCCGGGTTCTTCCTCCAGGGGCCTCAGGGAGCTGCGTGATAGGCTGCAGCTGCTGGCAGCACAGTTTGCCTTCTTCATGTGGTGGGACAGATGTTTGGGCTTCAGGGATAAACCCAGGCGCCACCTCTGGCTGTTTGGTGGACAGGGGGTGGAGTCCTGGCCCCTGGAGAGGCCTTGGTGGCTATTTGTGCTCCCCCCCCCCCTGGCAGCTGTACCACAAGCACACATATATCCTGATGACACAGATATCTCCATAGAAAACATCCACTGCTACATACAGCAGCATGGATGCATCGGTACAGAACCTCACACCACATATGCATACAGCAAAACAGACATGCACACGCACACACCACGCACACCTACCTGCAGTTACACAGCCACACCCTGACTCAATGGACACACTGCCTCCCAGATCTTCATTCCGCACAGGCCTCTCCAAGTAGCCCCTGCCTGAGCAGCTGAGAATCTCCCAGCAGATGTGAAATCTGGACCCTCTTTCCAGGAGCTCGAACCAGGCAGTGCAGATTCTCTCCACCCATCTCCTCCTTAGGCCGTTAAGCATGGAGAGGGCCAAGGAGGGAATGCACACAAGGCTGAGGCAGCGTCCCATGGAAGCTGTAGGGGCAGTGGGCTCCCACGATTCCCATTAGGATGCAAGGCCCCAAGTCACCTCTCTGAGTTCCCAGAGCTGATGCTGGGAGGGGTGGGGCCTGGGAGGAAGGCAGTGAGCCCCCAAGAATGGAGGGCTGAGGCTGCACACAGGAGGTCGACCCCTCACCCCCACCCCAGACAAATGACTACTAGGCTTCATGGGTCCAGCCAGACAGCAGCTTTATTAGTGGTGCTGGTTTCTTCACAGACCATTCAGTGCTCTGGTGTCCGTGGTGGCCTTTGGGACAACACTGGGGAGCAGTTACTGGAGGGGTATAAATAAAGCTTTGGTGCACAGGTTTTGGGAATGGGGCACAGGTAACACTGCCACACAATACTTCACAACACCAGCTCTCAGTGGAAATGGGGTTCTGGCCAAGGGGGTTACTTCTAAGTGACTGCACATGGGGCTGCCGCCTCAACTGTGCTGACCCCAGGGGCAGCAGGAAGACACCTAGGGCTGAGGCTCCGTGTGGCCCTGCCGCTTCGCCTTCATCTGCAGATAGCGGCCTTTGCCTTCTTCAAAGCGCTTCTTCTCATCCTCAGTCTCAGGCTGTGGCACACACAAAGAAGGGCATGTTAGAGACTCCAGAGAGCTCAGGGCTGTCTGCACTGTCCCTGGAGAGTGCTGAGGACCTCTGCCAAGGGCTTCTAGGTGCCACACACTGGTATCTTGACACCTCCCAGTCTGGGGATGGACTGTGAGGTCAGAAGTTCTGTGTGGGGGCCAAGTGTCAGCAAAGAGGGATTGCGTCACCCCAGGGAACTGACCAGCCTTTGTCACAGGGGAAGGTGGGGCGCTGTATGGGCTGTTGCCTTGAGATAAAGCTTTACTTTATATTAATGGGAGGGACCCTACCACCCTCAGCCTGCATGGACTGTGAGATCCTCAGAAGTGGCACCTAGGGCTGAGCAACTTAAACAGCTGGAGCCGCAGCATCAGTGGGCAGGACCAACTGGCCAGAGGGATTTTGCTGCAGGCTGGGTTTTCCTCGGGGATGGTCCTGGTTTGTGTCTATTGGCCTGCTGGGACTTCATATTTAGGAGTGGCCTGGTTTCGCTATGAACCCCTGGGCAGGTATCATGGCAGCAGCAATTGGGTGGTCACTTTTGAGTCTGATCTGTCCTGCCTAAAGTTCCATCTGGCACTGCCCTGGCCAAGGAGCTGGGTTTAATGAGCTGTACTAATTCTGCTGGGATGCAATTTCATTGTGACATTATGAGGGTATCCAAAAGCCAAGGAAATGGGGCAGGTGCCCTTCATCCAGAATGACACCAAGTCCTGGCAGCTATTTTTAGGCCTACATGCTTTACAGACCTTCAGTATATTGGCAAAGGAGAACCACCAGCCAGAGGACTTAATGTCAAATCACACTAAGTATTTCCTTCCTCCAGCCTTCCCCAAAATTGCTCTCTAAATGTCACCAGGTGTAAACTGTCCAGGCTGTGCCAGCTGGGAGCCAACGGGACACGAGGTATTAAGACACCGGCATGTGGGGCTGGAGAGATGGCTCAGAGGTTAAGAGCACTGGCTGCTCTTCCAGAGGTCCTGAGTTCAAGCCCCAGCAACCACATGGTGACTCACAACCACCTGTAATGAGATCTGGTGCCCTCTTCTAGCCTTCAGGCAGAACACTACATACATAATATTTAAAAAAAAAAAAAAAAAAAGACACGGGCATGCTTTCCATAGGGGTTCTGGTTCCTGTGTGCACTGTTCAGTGCATACACAGAACTTAGGCCTGGCTGTCCTGGAACTTGCTCTGTAGCCCAGGCTGGCCTTAAACTCACAGAGATCCACCTGCCTCTGTCTCCTGAGTGTTGGGATTAAAGGCGTGCACCACCACCGCCCAACCACACAAAAGTTTAATTACGGTTACCTTACATGGGAGAAGGCTCCTCCTAGAGGACACAGGGTGCCAAATTAAAAAGCACAGAGTAACGCCCGTGCTATGCCTGCTTTCCTGACAGCCAGGGCCCACAGCGTAAGCACCTACACACTGTCTCTCACAGAAAACAATGTACACTGATGCTAAGATCTGAAATCTCAAAGTAAAATCATTTGTTTAAACTGGTTAAATTGAGGCTTTCCCACACCGGTTTGTCCAGTGCTACAGCACCGTTCCAGCGTTAGTCAGGGGTTGTTGGTACCATGCTTTCCGCTTACCCACCTGCTCACACGCTCTTTTTGCTGGCCTCCACGGCCCAGGGGATACTGTGCTGTCGGTTATGAGCCCCCTGGTCTATGGTTTTGGCTCTGGCTCTGGGTGCTCTGAGTTATCACTACTTCTGGTTTCTAGCAGGCTGGGATCTCTCCTGACTCTGGCATAAGGAGGAAGCTGCCTGGGTGAGGAAGAGGTGGGACCCAGGACCAAGAACTCTGTCTGGGGAAGGCACTGGTTCCCAGTGTGCACCTGGACAGAGGAGCCAGAGCACATGGCCTGGTGCTTCTGCACAGCAGCTCTGCACTCCTCAGAAGGCACGTGACTCAGAACAAACCATCCTCCCTGGTCTCTGGGTAGGCCGGTGCCCACAGCGGGAGGGTATCTTCACCCAAGAGACAGCAGGGGGTCTGGAAGGGCTCTAGGCTTATTCTCAGAGGACAGACCTCATTCACCACAGAGACCCTTGGGTTTCCTGTCTCACACATTGCCGCTGATTACCCTTGATCTAGCAGGCAGCTACAGCGCAGGAGTCTAGGTGGAGGCTCTGCCACTCACCTGCTGTGTTGCTTTGGGCAGTTATGCAACCTCTCTGGGCTTCACTTTCTCACCTCCCTCTAGTGGTGCTGCCTCTCGCCTGTTATGGAGGCTGCTGTGCTTGCACTGGCTCCCGGGTGTACAGGACTCCAGGGCAGGCCCTATCACTCTCCTCCTGCTCTGAGTTAACAACAGCACATGACCCTCTGTCCGCACAGGGTAAAGGGGTGGTCAGGATTTAATCCTGCAGGTTTCCAGGGGACCTAAAGGTGCTGAGAGCTGGTGCAGTTACACTCACGGTCCACAGGGCACTACCAGCGGCTATCCTCAGCTAGAGAGGCCAGGAGATGCTGCACTGCCCTCACCTGGGCGGGCCATGCTGCATGCATGGAGCCGAGGTCCCACTGCACATCTGGGAGCTGGACTGGAATGTTCAAGAATTGACCTGAGTGTGTCCTCAGCTCATCTAACGAAGGCATGAGGGGGTTATGTCACTCCTGAGCTATGGCCTGCCTGTGCCTGCCATCTGCGTCTTGTCCCACAGACAGAGCCCCTCTTTGGGCCCCCTGGTCATCTGTATCTGGGGAGAGGAGCTGGTTTCCTAGATCTTAAGTTTCTCCCAGTTGAACTGGCTCCTCCTCTTAACTGCAGGAGGACTCTAGTGCACATAAAGGCAGAGGTTCCTAGGTGCTTGCCACCTGGGGCCAGTCTGACTCCCCCACTCCCTGTCAGCTTCCCCCACTGAGCTCCTGGCCCCAGGTCCAACTCTCCCTCAGTTAGGCAGTGTCCTCCTTGAGCCGGTCACCAGGAGTTCCAGGCTCCTAGAGCTCAGAGGAGGACAGAACGCCCATAGCCAATACAATGGGCTACAGTCTCAGCAAGCGGGCCACGCATGGGCGCAGAGCCCAGGTTTACCTCAGTACTGAATACCAGGCCCTCCGGATCCCCAGAGTCAACAAACATCACAACACACCAGGAGAAGCCAGACCCTGGGCCATCATCCTCCCATCCTTCGTTACATACGCTCCCCGAGTATGTTATGAAGTTTGAGAGGGACTGAGGGAGGGCTCCATGTGGGAACCTGCCAACTGAAACAGTGTGCAGACGCCATGTTGGGTGTCACCAGTGCAGGGACAGACAGGTGCCCATGCCCAGCTGTGACAGAGAG